CCAGGGTCATGGCAAACACCGAAAAACAGATTCACTCTTTCACCAAAGACTACTGCTTCATTCAGCTGATCACCAATCAGCCAAAATAACTGCATGATAATTATGTAATACATGTGCATGATGGAAAGTTTAAGACCTCTGAGTGCCCTCTCTCACAGATGCTGGTAAGATTCAAGAAGTACTTTTGATGATTTTCACCACCATTTCTTTAGCAGCTGCACTGCTTGAGCTATTCATGATGTCTGTGTTTTAAAGTAATAGCTGTAATGTATTTTTCTACTACTTTCTTCTCATTATAAATGAAACACCCAAGCTATATTCACTTAATACCACAGAGAAAAGAGAAACAAAGAAGAATAGGGGAAAAAAGGTCACTCTCAGGCCAAGACCAAGTCTGGAAAATTTCAACTTGAGACAAGAGCATTTCAGGAAGTTATAAGCAACTGAAACAATGAAGGAATTATAATTGAAACACTGTAAAAATTTTAACTATAGCTCTTTCTATGCTAACCAACACCCAGAGACTCAACAGCACTCAGAAATTCTTCTTGACATTGATGATATGTGATTTCAAAATCACTCTGAACGTCCTCAAAAAAGCAGAAGAAAGGGATGGTTGGTGTTGGCCACAGCTGCAGCTGATGGAGATCAGCACAGCTCCTTTGCCTTTGATGACATCAGTGAGTCACAGGAAGAGCAATAAAAAGGAGATAAACCAAAATCCCCTAACTTGTAACAGCTCATCTAGTTTACTTATGCGTTGTTTCGCCCCCCAGCACAGAAATGCCCTGTCTGCCGGCCTCTCACCAGAGCAGCTAATTGAAATGTGGCCTGTTCTGATGCCTCCTGCCAGGCTGTGTTTCTTCAGTTCAAGAGAAATGGATACTCAAATCACAAGTTCAACATTTTTGTTCCCACCTCATCCTAGCACATTCCCCACAACTCCTTGCCCTTCTCCTCACAGGAGGGCAATGAACAGAATGAAGCCTAATCAAAGTTATCCCTGTCTCTCCAGAACAGATTTATGATTGTGAACAGACTAAATGCACCCTTTTTTCTTTCACTGCTCTAAACACAGGATCTAAAAAGGCATTCTATAATTGCTGAACTCCCATTGAAATAACCCTAAAATGAACATTTTTCCGAACAGTCCTCTGTGAAAAAATTCAGACATTCTATGAAAATTCTACATGCCAACGCAGGCATTTAAGTATCTACACCTCCTGAAAAAACAAAACAAAACAAAAACAAAACAAAACAAAAAAAACCCAAACAAACAAAACCCAAAACCAAACCAAAACAAACAAAACAAACAAAAAAAACCCAAAACACACCACTCTCCAATGTTTAAAAGTCATTCCACTTGACTCCAATTAACAAGTATTTGCAAAGGGCCATACACCAAGTGTCTAATACACCGTGCTAGAGGCACTGCCACCAGCATCTTCATTTAAGTTCTTTCCACACACTGTGATACTGTGTTTCAGTCAGAAACTAGGTCATAAACTTCTCTATTGGAAAGCGTTTATAGCTGTTTGGACTGGATTATTCTGTTCAAGAGGTTATAATAATAAAGGAATCTTGCAAGCATACTTTTTCCAAACTCTTGGTATGTCATTGCCAGTTTGAGAAATTGGCTCATTACTTATGCCTCTTTGGCTCCTCCACTCTCAATTCCTCATTTGTTTTGACCCCTTTCTGGACAAAATATAAAACTTACTGTTTCATCCAATTAACAGGAGGGAGAATATAGAAAACTCTCTCATTTATTCCAGTTCCAGAATTAGTTTTACAAAAACATTGTCAGAGTTTCAAGAAGCATTCAGATGTTAAGAGTCCTGCCAAAGTTTACAATCTAGCTATATCCTGCTACAGAAAAAAAAAAAAAACGAAACTGCTCTGTTTTTACAATTTTATAAAAGTCTCTGGCAAGAAACAGTCCACCTCCACATATTCACATGCATCCACATGATCAGTGGATAAACCTTATTCTCTTTAGCCTAATCAAATTGTCCAACTCACTTTCTCCATTACCAAACTCTCTCAACACATTTTTCTCAGCCACTCCTTCCTGTACAGGCAAGCAAAGCAGTAGATTTGCCCTTCTCCCTACCACAACCCCAATTTGAAGGCTTAAAACAGTGAGCAAACACTTCACCCACAGTTCTAGTATCGCAAAGCTTTTTCATTTGAGGTTCCTTCTTTTGGTTCTCCATTAAATAGCTGCTCATACTGTACTACGAGTTCAGTCTCCATCAGCCCACCCAGAAGGGATTTGGGGGAAAACCTTTGCCCATTTCCTGGGGACGTGAGGAACAAGGTGCCCAACAGTTTCCTCTAAGTGAGAAAGCTGGCTTGGCAGTCCTTTACGTGCTCTTCCATGTCATAAGAATGTGCACAGTGGAGTCATCTTCAACTGAAATAGCCTTAAATTATATGCTACATACGACTTGCCTTGTACCTCATAAGGCATATAGATGCAGAAGGGAAAATGAAGGCAGATGGGATAGTTGGTTCTGTAATCAGAAACAGCTATTAAGTCCAAGATCTCTACTGTTTTTAGCAAAAACAAAAATCAAGAGAAAAAATAAACCGAGCTTCTATCCAGCTGTATAAATTCTGTCTCCCAAGTATTGTCTGCCAAGGAGAATCATAATAATTAAATACTTCTCCTTCATCTGGATCTAAAATTGTAGCTAAGAGCTTGGTTTTTATTGCTTGCTTCTACAAAATTTTAAATGTCTTTACTCTTGAAAGTGTAGTACTCTGCATTCTGTAGTTAGCACGTTCAAAGTATAAAATTTTACCTTTTCAAAGAGGCTCACCTTCAGCAAAGCCATAGCCTTTTCCAGTTCTGCAACCCTACCACAATAGTTAACATCATATATATTGCATTGTGTATTTCTGTGACTCCATCTAAGCAATCAGGTAGATTTATGCAATTCACACTCTATTCCATAGCCTTGACACATCAGCTGGAATATGTACAATCAGGTCCTCAGTGCAATGATTTTGCAGCAAAAGCATCATTGAGCAATTCCTCTTTAGTTTTTACTCCACCTAAAGTTTATGTGAACTCAAAAGCAATGTTTTAAGTGTGTGAAAGAAAAGCAACAAGAAAAAATATAGTTCAGTTCTGATTAATGGTTCTATATTTTAATATGTTGCTGAGTGTGTGTCCCCAGGATATTTTAAATTTATGATGGTTTCTTCCACACAATCTCGAATTCTTTCAGGAAAAAAATGGCCAGGATGACTGCCTTACAGCTTAAATGACATATCATCTTCTCTATTGCTTTCTCTAATTCAAGGAGGTACAGAACATAAAGGTCACACAACATCCAAATTACTATTAAAATCACAGTAAATAAGCTAAGAGAGAAAAGCAAGGCAGGTCTGAGCACCTGCCTCCAACCTATTCCTTAGGAATACACCAACAGCACCACAGAAGACCAGCAGTTTCATTTCACTTTGAGGAAATTTTAGTGAACTGCTTGTTAATCCTTCTTTAAAGCTTCACATCCATCATCCTTTCCTACCACTCCACCAGAGCAGAAAAGGCTCAGTTCAACTCCTGATTCTCCTGGGATGTCAACTTAGTCCCCAGGTAAAATGAAATTAGCAAGTAGGAGGTTCAAAACTAACTTCAGGAACTAATTGCTTTCTCCCTCACAGCATTCAGTTTGGGAATCCTGAACAGTATGAAGCTGCAGAGCCTAAAAATTCACCTAGGTTCAAAACATAACCTTACAAATTCACAGAAAGGGAAAGCATAGCCAAGGCTACTCAACACAGAAGCCACCACTGACTCAGATATCCTTAACATGTGGACCATGAGAGGCTGATCTGGGAAGCAACAGCATACTCCACTCTCCTCTCTTGTCATCAGCTGTCAGTCACTCCCTGGGACAGGAGGCTACTATGGCTTCCCTAAAACTAGGTTTAACACAGTTCTTGATCTGACAGATCCTGACATTTTGATGTGTTTGCTATGTTTATGCTCTTACGTCCTGTAAGTTGGAGAATAAAGTAACTCCAGCGTCATTCCTCTGTATATTTTGTGTCCTTGCCTTAAGACACCCCTTTAACACTCTACCTATACTACACATCTGGCTCCAACCTGAACACAATGCAGTCTTCACCATATTCATCTTCACAATGCTCTTACAAAGGAAGAAAAGAAGAGGGCAATTGGAAGCCCAGAGGTACTAAAGCCCGCATGTGTACTAAGATACCACTTATATATAAGCCCAAGTCTTTGGCTTTAACTGCAGTGTGCAAGTGAAGTAACTACCTTCACTTCAGAGTACTGGCTGCTCTACAATACCAGCACAACATGGTGATCCTCATGTGCACAGAAAGCTCAGTGTAGCCCTGGGTATATCAGAGTTGTGCAAAAAAAGTACTCTGGACATACTATCTTCTCTACCAGAGATGGAAGGATATTGGTGTGTGGGCAGTTACTTTCCACTGATACTGAAACTAAAGAATTTGTCCATGTTTTCTCAGGAAGTTTGTGAACGAAGACCAACTTTTGCTTGCCTTTGTGCAGGCTTTAACAATCTTGGGTTAACTTCCACAGGTATTGACACCTTCACAACTAGATCCTCAACTGGTACAGCCTTAAAGAACAAGTTAAGTTACTTAAACCACTCAAGAAATGCTGAAATTATCCTTATATTCAGACCTACATTTGTAATTGCTAATGTGAAATAAAATTCTTCAGGAAATGTTTTTATACAGTAGCAAGGGTAAGGACTATAATAGCAGCAACATCATCTCTTATCAGAGTTACTAAATTTAGGAGAAAAACAAAAAATTTGCCGACTGATTTATAGAGAGACATATGTAAACATTCATGTAGACAAGAGATTTATGTTTAATAGTCAGTGAATTTTAGTGCTGTAACATTCAAGACTCCTACTATTAGAGCTGAACCAAAACAATGTGAGGAAAGTTAATGAACAGCCATCCCAAATGACATACATCTGATTTCTTACCTGAAGTACGTTCATCCATCCATCATTACTATTGTCCCAGGATAATGCTTCATCAACCACATAACAAAAAAGTCTGGTGAACTCCTAAGTGTTTAAAAAGAAATATAAGCATGTAACACAACACACCAAATCCATAGCAAATAGAAAAATAATACTTCATAATTCAGTCTGACATTGCATTTGGAAGGATTTCTTTTGTTCCAATTGTTTTTTTAATGTAATTTTTTATTTAGACTTTCTCCATGCATTCAAACTAAATTGTGGAACATTTGGCTGAGGCAGAACCAGAACCACAGGAAACACAATTACTAACAAGAATAATTAAAGATGGAAAATCAACATGACATGTAAAAATAGAAGAATCAGAAGAGAAAGAATCATCCATGGTTGTTTTAATTATTTGGCAACTATGCTCTATCTACATATTCACTTGTTGATACTAATTCGTACTATATCTAGAGAAGTTTTTCAGTTCTCACAGAAAGAGAAATAACATTTCCAAATTATGGTTATATTTTACAGAAAGAATGACTTATGCTAAATGTGAAATATGCCCTTCCTTAACATTCTTCCTTTATTTTCAGTTGTAAAGCTCTGTATTTCTTAAGTGTCCGGGTATAAAGAATACTTCAACATTCTGGACACAGCATTTTTTAGAGCTGCCTTTTGACTTTAGACCCACAGCAGAAGTGGGCTCTGCAACTTATATCAGTTAAATGGTATCTCTGCAAAGTCTTCTTTTTCTAAATCAAACACCAAATAAGAAAAAATGTGCACTGCTAGTATTACATGCATCTGCTTGATTAACAAAGTAACGGTGCAGTCAACTAGACAGCAAATTAACCTTTCAGATTTCATGTACTGCAATTAACTTCCATGTTTACCAGCACAGCACTGTAAACTTCATGGACAAAACACGGTTTCTAGGGCACAGGAAAGGTCTTCCTTCATAAAAGAATGCCAATGGGTCTGTTTTTATGAAGGACACTGCACTTTATGGTGAATTACATCTATATCACATATTTTCTTCCTTATACACATAATAAAATTATCTTCAGCAGATCTAAGGTGCAAGATAGGAACATTCTGGTGTCTGCTACTTAGCACAGTTGCAGTCCAGCTGCCTACTCCAGTAAATAAGGCCTAGCAAAGTATCACTCAGGATATGGCTATAACTGTGTTTCACTACACCTCATTTATTATACGACAAAGTTTACTAAATCCATGCGCAGATACTTATCTTGTCATCTACAAAATTTTAAGTGTTTTATCTAACATTCAGTTTTCTAATTTGTCTCTTTTCACACCACCAATTTTACACAGCTGTCAAAAAGTCTACAGAACCTTGCCGCCTATTACATAGAAGAGGCTTTAATGCAGCCCTGTGTTAAGAAATAACTTAAAAAACAGCATGAACAAGTGATATTCTTATTTCATCATGGACTCCTCTCATATTTGCTCTTTTTTACAAATTAAATAGATAAATCAATTTGTTAGCTCTCAGATCAAACTAGCCTAAAAAAAGAAAAATAGGTCGAGCTGTGCTTCCCCCACTCTCATGTTACAGTAGCAGCCACAGCCTGTCCTGGCTAATGAATACCTGCCTTTACATCCACACAACCCGCTCAGCCTTCAGTGAGACAGCGCAGACAGAAGGGAAAGTTCCAAGGGCAATGAGTTGTTACCCAGGTGTAGATTAGACTGCAAAACGTGGTTGAGTACAAACTGGACGAGATGTGAGACAAAGAACCCGATTCACCTTGCCTTTTGGTAGTCATGGATTTAGCAGCATTTTTCAGCAGCAGAATACAGAACATTTAAATTGCTAATGTAAACTAGCTTTATCAAGAATGTATCTTAAAAACTTGGTGAACATTCAAGATATTGGGAGCTGGGGGGAAAGGGAGGAGGGAGAAGACCCTAAGTTACACTTCCCTGTCCGTGTTTAAATCCTGTTAATATGTACTCAACAATGAAAGACCTAACACATAAACAGAGACACCTGACAGTTATATCATTATCTGCGGTGGCTTTGGTCTAAAATTTTCACCTTACAGTTCTAAGGTATTGAAAATCCAGTCACTATTTTTGTTTCCACAAAATAGTGCTTTTAAAACTCAAGTGTCTTCCAACAGAACCTTTGCAATTTCCGCAAGGGGACCCAAGATCACTGAGGAATGTAGGAAAACCAGAAACACCACTAAAGCACTGACTGCTTACCTTTAAAAAAAAAAATAAAATCAACTAATGAAAATTAGTTGATAAAAGAGCATGTCTAATTTATTTGACTGCAATTCCTACTTTTTGAGGACAGTTGCTACTTGTGACTAATTAAAGCCACATTAAGTATTAAACAAGAGACCATTAGAAAAATTTGGCTCCAAGAGTGCTGGAGCAAGGGTATAGCGAAGAACAAAAGTTCATGTGAAATTCTATGCAGACTGTGTCTCCTAGGCCTTCCCTATGGACTAGTGATAGTCCCTACAGTCTCAGATGGTTCTCCACAAAATAATCATGAAGAGATAAAAAAAATCAAAAACACATTCCTGAGCCTGCAAGCAAGAAAACTGGAGAGAAACAAAAGAAGTGAGTCAACAGTCAAAGTAGAGTGTGATTCTCATCTGGTCAAGAATGAAAACCATTGTTGAAACACACAACTCAATGCTGTCCACAGATTTTTCTTCTCTCTAAAAAAAGTAACCTTTTGATGAAAGAAAGACTGAGGAATACTTTTATAAGTTATATTTCTTTGAAAATATATAGTAGGCACAAAAAAAAAAGTCTCAAAGGGGCAAAATGTTTAAAATAAAAATAAGGAACACAAAAGCACATGAAAGAACCCAAAATGCTTTCCAGTTCGTGGTGCTAAGTGTGTGCTTAAGCAGAACCACGGACCATTTTCAGGGAAACCTGTTCATGCATCATACTTCAGGCCTCAGCTTCAGCATCAGGAGCTCCTAGCAGGCAACTCAGATGGGCACTGTGGCATTTTCTAGACAGGGGTTCATGAGGGGTTCATGAGGTTCACCAACCTATCAACCAGGACTCACCACATCCAAAGACCAAATGAAGCAAAAGACAAAGCTATTATCGAGCTTTAACCTTTAAAATTAGACAACTTTTTTTCTGTTTGATTTCTTAAACCAAGTAGGACAGTCACATTAGTCAATTTTGATTACTTGATTTCCTTCCCAAGGAAATGGACAAGTATTGTTTTGTTTGCTTTGACTGCTTCCTGAGGCTGGCAGTCCTAGAATTCTAGGGGAAGAGTCAAGATTACTATGATCAAAATCCTTCTATCCTCTCCTTGCATCTCCATTTGCGACAGGAGAGCCCTCAAGGATTATTGCCTGAGCAGTGGCTTGGCCCTTCACATCCCTTGCTCCAGTGAAAAGCAGCTGTACCACAGTCACCAACACCCAACAGAGATACTGCTGGGTGAGGAAGCCCCCTGCCAACAACCCCTCTACCCTCCCCCAATCCTGAGTAGAGGTGTGGCTTGGAGATAAAACAATGAGGTCCATTATCTGCAGCTGAAGAGAGTCACCCTGGAAATCCTCCCTTTCTGCCAGGAATCATTAAAAGTAGTTTGTGTTGGCTGTGGAAAATATTCTCGCTCTTCTGAAGAAACGAGGTGCATTATCTGGGCATTGCTAGCTACCAGGCTCAGTCCCAGCATCACTGTCTACACAATGCCTCTTCTTCCTTCACACCAAGCGAAGTTTTGAGTGAAATGCATCAGAAAATATTGTTTCCTTCATAAATGCCATCACTGCCTCCTAAAAGAACTAGACTAGGAATTATTTTACAAGTAAAAGATCATTTGTAGTCCAGGGACTAAAGCACTACCATGAATTAGGTCAATCCCATCATTTGTTACTGCTCTAAAAGTACAGTAACAGCAGGAAGAGGGGGTCAGGGTGGAATAATCATTTGTTAACAATTTTAATAGTAAAGCTTTATTGGTTTTCCCTATGGATTCACATAGTTATTATAGTGAAATTAAGTGTTTTTCCTCCAAGTGAACTCTTGTTAATCCTTTTATTTAGGTTCAGAGCTACAGTACATGACCCTGCAAGAACATTCATCTACAGTCACAGCTGGAGCTGCAGACTCACTGGCTTGAAGGAATTAATTTCTTTGCAAGGTGGAAGCAACTGAAAAGCCAAAGGCTTATCTACAGGAAAATCTGAATTTCACCAACTCGTACAAAGAACAGGACAAAACAAAAATGTATAATCAGACACCTCATCAAAAAGCAGATGTGGAAAAACTCTGGCACATTAGAGAATTACAGTTTGGGGGGAAATATACTAATGGTTTGTCATACCACATAACAAGCTTTAGGTCTTAAAAATAAAATACGAATTTTAAAAGCAGATTAAATTCGACTGCAATGAACTGCCACCAAGAGATTCACAGTGCTCAACCCAAGCCACCCAGGCTTTCTATTATCTCATACCTTTGACAGTAGCTTACTCATTTGCAAGACTCATCTGAAGCCAGTCATAATATGACAAAGTGAAAAGCCTGTTCTTGCTTCACCTTGGTTGTCAGCTTCTCAGTCCATTTTCTCCCCCGTACATAAATAACATTAAAAATGTACAAATACTAGAAAGTCAGACTCTTTCACTGGACATAATGGAAAAGCGTGCTACCAACAAAAATATTACAAAGCAGAACCATGGCCATCAGGTCACTGAGTGTTGATATTGAAACAGCTCATGACTAGGCAACCTAAAGCATGAGTGCCAACCTGCACCTGGAAGTTAAAATATGGATCTTCTGCTTTTGAAGGTTTTCAAGAAAGCACTTCAAAAGCAATTTTTAAGAGTTTAATAGTTTATTTTTCTCAATATCAAAAAAAAAAAAAAAAAGGAAAAGAAAATTTATAATGCAGTGTTCAGATTCACAGAATATGCTGAGTTGAAAGCGACCCACAAGGACCACCAAGTCCAACTCTGGCCTGCACAGGACCATCTCCAAGAGTCACACCATGTAGAGTATCATCCTAACACTTCCTGAACTCTAGCAGGTTTAGTGCTGTGACCACTTCCCAGGGGAGAGAGCCTGTTCCAGTGCCC